CAGCTTGGATCCGGGGCCTTATTTGCTGGAGGACATTAACGAATCACAACTTAGAACATACGATTCGTTTCTTCATGCCATTGTCTTCTAAAAATCCTTGAGCATTTGCCTAATATTACGTAGGAATTATCTGAAATATTTTCATGGAGTCTTAGCTTTGTGCTTGTAAATGTTGGTTGCTTTTACCTAATAGGCTTTCAGTCCCTGTTTCTAGACTTAAGAGGATTCCTTTTTCTTTTATTTTAAAAAGTTTTTTTTTGGAGACACAAACACTTTAGTGGGGAGCTCTAGGAGCAAAGCTTCTCGAACCTGCACACCGGTCTGGAGATCTAGACTAAACCAAGGTGTGATAGAAACCCACACCTAAGATTCTGTAGTAAGAGCGTTACTGTTCCGGGTACAAGTAAGTGCTGGCGTGATTCATACTCCTCAGCCCACTCCTTCGATGCTTGTGGGGCATTCGGCGTAACGCGGGCGCGGCCTGGGGACCAGGCAGTCAGTTGTGAACGAAACGTGTGTGAAGTCACCCTGGCCGGGAGCTCAGTGGGTCGGAGCCTCATCCCGTTCTCCAGGAGGTGTGGGCCTGGTGCCTGGCCGGGCAGGCCGTGTGAGGGGAGGCGGCTGACCGTCCCCCCCCCCTCTCGCCCTCCCTCCCCCTGTCTCTCTCTGACTCTCTCTCTCACCCTCCCTCCCTCTCTCTCTCTCACCCTCCCTCCCTCTCTCTCTCTCTCTCGCCCTCCCTCCCCCCCGTCTCTCCCCCCAATTCCTGTCTCTAAAATCAATAAAAAAAAAATCCTCGAGTCAGAATTAGAAAAAAAAAAACCCATGTAACATCACAGAACTTCCAGTCTAGTGAAGAAGAACAGCACACACACCAGAAGAGTGAACTTGCAGTTGTGACAGACCGTGCAAGGGGAGGTGGGGCAGCTGTGCAAGTGCCTTTATACACGCGTGAGCGTATGTGTGTGTCTCATCTGAGCACCTGCCAAGGTCTTTACCACGTGTTACATGCAGACAGAGGGCGATAACTTCCACCGTGGTTTCCCACTTACCCACCAGGCTTCGTCCTCGGGGGGTCAAGCCCGGTGGACACTGGGGTTTGAATTTAGTCACGTTGGACCCTGGGATGAAGCAGAAGGACCCTCTGTCCCTCAGCGTCTGGAGAAGCACTGCGTTCTAGGTCTGCACGCGCCGGGGGAGGGCATTCTCTGTCCAACACGGGCTCTTGCCGGCCTCAGGCTCCCTCTGCCTGAGTGAAGCCTCACTGGCCTGGGCCTTCGGTTGCTCGTTTGCTCGCTTGTTTTGACGCATTCCGATGCTGCCGCGCAGCCTCGGCCCCCGGGACAAACCCGCCCAAGGGCAGACAGATTCCGTGGCAGCTTTTAATGTGACATTCTCAAGGCCTGTCCAATTATTTGTGCTCGCTAATGCACCCCAGCCCTTGAACCTGACGTTGGAAATCCAAGTGCATTAAGAGCTGTCACCGTGGATGGAGAAAAGCTCCGAAAACTTGGTTTGCTTCCAAAAGCAGGTTTGCCCTTTAAAGCTGGGTGACTCTGGAGCTGTGGATTGTGTACATTTCTGCTCAAACCATCAAACAGCAGATGAGCTTCACCGACGTGCCGGAGCCCTCCGAGACTCTGGGACACCTCCCGGTGAAGTCAGACAGAGCACCAGCTGCTTCTGCGGCAGGAAGGAGGGCGGAGACAGGGGTGGGGGCGGGGAGAGAGCGAGGAAGCCAGGGAAACAAAGAGACGGTTTCCTTCCAGCTGCGAGGAGGAGGCCTCTGGCCAGTGGGGTGCTCCCTTCTGCAGCCTTTGGCTCCCAGAAAGTCCATGTGGTTTACACTCATCCCCCCCAGGAGAACCAGAGTATGAAACAGCTCTAAGTAAAATGTCCAGTTCTCCTGATTTCAGATTTTTTTTTTGATATAAAAAAAGGCAAAAACAACATAATGTAAATAACCCGTGTGCTGAAAGTGTCTGAGCACTGGCTGCGGCGGGTGGCGGAGGGGGTGGGTGTGGCTCTAGGCCTCCCTCGGACCCTCAGACGCTCTGACTCCAAGCTTCCAGTGAGAAAGCCAGGGGGGTGGGTGCCTTCCAGCCGTCGGCCGTCCTCACGGCTCGTTATCCTCAAACTCGAGCGTCCATACCACTTAGTGTTAGCGTTCGCATCTTTCCTCAGCGCGGTCAGGCATCCCTCCTCCCCCCATCCCCTCTTAACACACCAGGTGCCCCCTGCGAGCCGGCACCGCGCTGCGTGCCGGGGACACGGAAATACGAGTCTCCCGGGTCGGGGGGGCCTCCGGGGCCTCCGGCTTTCCCGACGGGACGGTGCGTTCTTTGAGGGCGCCCACCTAGTTCTCCACTCGGAACCGTAGAAGCACAGAGCTTTAGAGTCAGAGGGGCCTCGGAAGCCATGCCCACACCAGCCCGCCCTCTCCCTCCCACGGCCCACTGCAGAGCACTGGCCTGCGTACGCCTCTCGCCAAGCTCTGCTGCCGGAACTTTCCGGGCCCGTTTGACCTGCGGGCCCCGTTCAAGTCACAGTTCAGCCCCCACGGGGCAGGTGGGGTTGCTACCCCCATCTCACCGAAGAGGAACCAGAGGCGTGGAAAGGTCAGGGGTCAGCAGGGAAGCAGACAGGGGGGCTTCCGGCCCCTCTCCATCGCTGTCCCGCTCTGCGGCTGTGGGCGCAGAGGAAGGGGTTTAAACGTCGGGGGACAGGGCGAGGACGCCGGCTCGGTGATTTCTCACCCCGTGACCGGTTTAAGCCGCTGCTATGCCCTCGCTTTACTTTCTTTGCCTCCCTTAACCCGCCGACGATGTGAAAATTTAGGTCTTTCCCAATGTTTTCCCAACACGGGCCACGGAACCCAGAATCAGCTCCAGGGGAGGGAGCTCAGCGTGTGGTTCACGGTCGCCTCACGGGCCGAGGGCCGTGGGGTTCTGGGCACCTCCCGTGTCCGTGCTGACGGCAGGGCACCGCTCTGTGTCCCCTTGGCCGCGACCATGGATGTTTCTGGGAGACAGGAGGCTGTTCCCAAGGCAACCCCGCCGACAAGGGCCACAGATGCGGGAGAGCGGGCAGCTGCTGACTGCAGCCCCAGAGCCGACGGCAGTGGGAGCGGAGCAGGTGGGCGCGCTCTCGGGGCGGTGACACTCTCGGGGCGGGGGGGGGCACAGGGCGGGCGCCTCGGGGCGCAGCCGGCGTGGGCCCAGGCCGTGCGGGCTCCAGCCACCTTGGCTCCCCGCTGATCCGCACTCCGTGCACCTTGCTTTCCGGGGAGTCCACGCTGGGCTTCGGCTGCCCAGCCGCCCCGTGTAGGATCTGTCTCCACGACTTAAAACGCTTAGCAAGGTGACAATGTTTGAATTCGGTTTAACAAGGAATTAGTGACCCGCCATCTGGGGTCACTGCTGTGGCTGACCGGCTCCAGGTCCGAGGAGCAGGTGGCCCTCAGCCTGCGCTCCTGTCCCGTTCCTGGGCCAGGTGTCAAGTGCCTCGACACCCAGTCCAAGGTCAGCCACAAACTAGCCGAACCGTGTGCCCCCTGTGGGCCCTGTGTCCCTCCTTCCTCGCAAAACGAAGGAGTCCTAACTCTCGGAGTGTCCCCCAAGCCCCGGCACTGCCTGGTCCTTGCGGGTCTGCCGGGACACCAGCGTTACTTAAAAAGCGATTTTAGGAATAATGAGGCCATGGAAGACACTTTTAAAACCATGCTACCCCTTTAATTTGCTTAATTAGTTAATTAAAATTCAAAAGCCTCATCTTCTGAGAAATCACAGTTGGGCACTTCCTGCAAGCCGCTCTGGGCCACGCCGCACCTGGCCAGCCTGCTTCTTGGGCACGCATGCAGAGCGGGGTCGCGTCCCCCGGGCCCCAGGCAGAGCCGGCACGCCCGTGGTTCGCAGAGTTGAAAGGTGACCGCCACCGTGGGTGGCCCGGCTCCTCCCGCCGCCCTGGGAGGGCGTTTGCTTTCATCTCGCCACTGGCTCGCGCGGCGGCGGCTGGCAGAGGCCTCTGACACAGCTGTCCCACGCGGAAAACAAAGCAGCTGAAAAGCCGCCCTCCCACGCTACGTGCAGAGAGCTTGCCAGTAGTTGAAACGAATCCTCCTCCGGGCCTTTCAATAAGCACACTTTGGGGGGTGGTTGCAAGAAGGAAAGAGAAACTCGTAACACTCAGGACGAGCCAGCCTCGTGGCCCCCACAGCACGGACGTGCCTCCGTTTCCCGGGGACCGTGACGATTCGTGGTCTCCAGGTGGGCGGAAAAGGTGCCGAGTGCTGGTGGGAAGGGGCGTCTTTAAAACACACGCCGTCTTCCAAGGCCCCCGTCCACTCTCAGCCCCCCGAAGAACGGGGGTGTCGGCGTCACGTTCGAGCAGCGTTTGGGTTTTCAACTGCAACGGATACCGGCTGGGCAAGAATGACAAGTGCGCAGACTCTGTCTTCAACAGTTTCTGAAACCCCCTCCTCGTTGAACGGTCACGTCACCGGCCCCCTTTGCACCCCGACAGTCTGGGCAATAGCCACTAACTCCTCCTGGAGACACGGCCGGGAGGAGGGGCGCCCAGAGCAGAGCTGGCGCGGCGTGGGTCTCAGGCACCCCTGCAGAGCTCGCCAACACCCCCCCCCCCCCCCCCCGCCACGCGCCCGTCAGTGTGACGGCGTCAGCGGTCTGCGACTCCTGTGTTGGAACGTCCCGCCCCCTTCCCGGGCTCCTGCACGGTTTCTCCCTGTCCCGAGACCCGCCCTGAATCCAAAGGCCAAGTGTCCGAGTTCACACTCGGCGTCTCAGCTTTGATGGAAGCCGGGCGGCAGGCGGGCCGGCGGCCGGTCCGCGCGGAGCTGGCGGGGCCGAGAAGGAGGCGAGACGAGAACCACGCGGCCCTCGGGGCACGGGCGCGGAGCAGGTGGTGTACCCTCCAGCGGCGCATGAGCGGCCTCCCCTGGAGACGTGCCCAGGCCTCAGGTCTTCTCCGTGTTTCTCTCTTAGGTCCCACGGGGACGACCCGAGAACGAAAGCGAGAGACGCGAAGAGACGCCGGCAATGCTGCCCAGCCAGCCCGACGACCCTGAAAGGTAATGCGACACCCCCTTGCGGGCCCGCGTGCGCCCCGACAGCCATGTCCTCATGGGGGTACCCCGTTCTCCAACCGAGGCGGTGCGTCTGTAGGGTGGAGGAGGACAACCCCGACAGACAGGGCCGCAGGGAGAAGAGGAGAGAGCTGGGGGCGCCTTTTGGGACCCCAGGCCTGTTGGGACCCCGGGAGCACGCTCTGTCGTGGCTGCCGCTGCTGTCCGCGGGGCAGGGGGCAGGGGTCAGGGCGGGCCACGGGGGTTATGGGGTTTCAAGGTGCTCGCTGATTTCCCTGCATGAGTTCGGCCCTCCAGGTCACTTACCTTGAACAGCACAGCTCCCTCCCAGGGAGCAGCTCTGTGTCGCTCTCATACAGTGATGAGGTGGCTGTCTTCTCCCCTGACTCATCTACTCAGGTGCACAGGGAGAGATGCACTGAGTCCTTCATAAAAAAAAACCCTTCCTCCGGCACCTTCCACATCCTGTCAGTGTTCTGTGGCTTTTCTCAAGCCCTCCTCTGTGGCGGATACCGGCCAGCGTACCCGTCTCAGCTGCGGATGCTCGTTGAAACACGAGAAAAACACGCACAGAGACAACCAGGTCCTGTGGGGGAACAGGGACAGAAGGGCCACTCCTCACGTGGGGAGCACGCTGTGTCCATCCCCAAGCAGATGTTTATTGAGAAAACAGACTTAGTTTGTGGATTCACAGTCTGGCAGAAAAGATCAAAAGCAGTAGGTGACTTACAAAGGTGCAGACAGAACTCCCGCTGTGATTCTGGGCAAGGGCTGGGGCTTTAACATATGGCTCCAAGGGCTAGTTTTGGTTTCCTGTCTGTGCTTTTAAATTCCAAGTTAATAACACCCTCTAGCAAACAGATCTCACAGGATCTTGCATATTCTATGTCCCAGGCCTGATCACCCCGGGGGTACGACGTTTCTGGTCTGGGCTGTCCCCGCATGCCTGAGAAGGGCAGGAGACAGAGGCAGCCAGGAGACTTGGATTTCTCACATCCAAGAACAAGGACTCAGGCTTTGACAAAGCCGAGGGGGCAGGGGTCGATGTCCATCACCCCTTCATTTCCACAGCCCCGAGTCTCTTCCCAGAAGCCTCCATGTGATCCTGCCTGTCTTAGGCAATTCCGTCCATGGGAAATCTTACCCGTCATTGGCTAACTGATCGAGCTTAGGAGGTTTCGGCACAGAACAGGCAGCGTTCACACCAGGGAAATAAGTTTTTCTCCTTCAGTGGCTCCTGGTCCGGAGGTCTCTCACTCAGCCTAAGTCACGGGGGGTTACAGCTTCCTGAGGCCAGGCAGGGCGGCCCCCAACACTCCTCTTTCGCTGACCCCCTGAGCTATCTCATCGACTTCTTCTTCGTCACCTCTTATGTGGGAGACTTGGTCCTGGCTGCCGGCAGGGGTGACTCGGGCGTGCACCCGTGTCCTAGCCGCTTGCCGCTGGGGCGCCTGCCCGGAGCGAGTGCCGTGTTGCTGCGTGTTCGGCCTCATCCGAGAGGCACCGATACACCGCGCCGGGAGGTCAGGGACAGCGAGGTTCCTGGCGTGAGCAGAAGGAGGTGCAAGAAGGAGGGGCTGTGTGGCCTCATGGCTGGCACACAGAAAATGGGGGGACGGACGGAGAAAGAGGAGGGAAGAGCACTCCAGGCTGAGGCGGGGCGTGAAGGGAAGGTGGGGTTCGAGCGGGGAGCTGAGCGCGGCTCCGCTGGGCCCCCGCGTCGGGCACGTGATGCGAGCGCCCCTGGAGGGGGAGGCGGCAGAGCCGCGACCTCTCTCTGTGGGCCAGTGTCTCTCTGTCCGTGAGGACGACACCTCTTTCACGTGAGAGACAGGTCAGAGAAATAAGGTTGTTCGGCCAGTACTTGTCAAGCTAGGGTTCTCATCACCTGTGGGTCTGGGGACATGCTCTCAGTCAGGGCTCTTGGTCTGCGAAAAGTCTCTTTGCTAAAAGCGCCCCTAGGTACTTCCCAATGTGAGAACCGTGACCGTGCACGATTCAGCATTCAGAGGTCCGGACAGAGAGGGTTTAAAACCGGCGTGTGGGAAGACCCGACGCTGGCCCCCGTGCCTCCGGACCAGCCATGCTCCGTACCGGCAGCAAGCAACTTGGCCTTCAATGTAGGCACGCGGTGTTCACCACGCACCGGTCTGCCCCGTCCTGCGGCTGTGCTGAGTGAGCCTGGCCTCCTCGACAAGACTTTACCTCCCCAGGGAGAGCATTCGGCACGCCGCTGTGAGGCCGCCTCAACAGTGGGCGATAATGGGTCTGCAGCAAGCTCCGACCTGTTTCCTCTAAGATTCTAGAAAACGTGACGAGATGTAAACACCTCGCACAGGAGCAGCCTGAAGGCGGTGGAAGCAGCGGGGACAACACACCGTGTGGAACGGTGTCTAGGAAACACTGTATCCCGTTTTCCTTCAGTGGCAGAGGTCTGTCCCGGGCAAGTGTTACCGGATGAGAAAAGAAGGAAGAGAAGGGAAGGGAAGAAAGGGAGGGCAGGGAAGGGAGGCAGGAAGGCAAAGCCGCTCTAGGTTCTGCAGGGATGAGGCCTGTTGTGTTCACCTAGTGCTGTCAGGGTCGTCGCACCAAGCTCCTTTTCAAAGTAAAAGTAAAGGAGCAGAGGAAGCCACGCTGACCCCAGAGGGGGATTACCAAAGTAAACACGGTGTTTTACGGGCTCTCCAGTCCCCGTTACGAGACTCTCAAAGCCTGTTGTTTTAAAAGCAGCCCCACTCAACACATTACGACCCCGGGGTCCCCCGTGCTGGGACACTCTTCTATCGCCGGCTCGCATTTCCAGGCGTCCAAAGCAGACGTCTTCCTGTGCTAACACGTCTCTTAAGAAATGTACTGTTCCATGAATGATGTGTTCAGAAAGCCGTAATGATAACCTCACAAGGAAAACCGTGATGATGTATTGCAGCCCGAAGTGGAGGCAGTCCCGGAAGAATAGAATGAGCGTGGAATTCTCGTGAACGCGCCTCTGACCTGGCACCAAGCTCGCCCAGGCTAACCCGAGGCACCGAGCGTGAACAGACACAGCCTCAGCTCTGCGCTGCCATGTGGGAGCCGCCCCCTGGTCTCCCGTGCACGCAAGGAGCGCCTCGTCTTCCCGCACTCAAAGCACTCTGCTGTCTTCATGCCAAACACTGGTGTTCTTCAGGAAAATTAAACAATAGCTTTTTTCCCCCCCATGTGAATAGCACAGCTGCTCCAGATGTGCTGTTTAGCAGCCAAACACCTGCTGGCCATTAAACGCCCCTTAAAGCTCCGTTTTTGGCTCATAAAGGGAAGAGAAGGGGGGGCTGTTTACGGGGTGCCCGGCAGATGTTTTTGCTGGAAAAGACTGTGGAGGTGGCCGGCGAAAGCTGAGATCATGAAAAGATGACCTCTTTCGTGATATCATCAGCATTTTTACGGTTCTTTTGGCCTCTTCACGTTTCACCGCCTTCTCGCCTGACCCTACATTAAGCTCTGCCGGAAAGGCAGAAAGAAGGGCGCTTACGGAGGTTGCTGTCCACGCCGCAGAGCAGCTCACGGTGGTGTTCGCTTCCGTAGAAACAGGAGGATTTCCGTCCACTCGTACTGGCCTGTCGGGCGGGAGAAAAACGGATTTTGAAGTGATGAGTAAGGACTCGTAATGATTTCCAGCATAGTGGAGATCCCAGTTTTCCCCTCACGCATCGTATTAACCTTTAGCCAGGCTTTCAATTAGTTTCCATATTAAAGTTCATGAGACACATTTGTCAGTTTTCCAGAAATTACAGTTCTTCAAACTAAGACACATCCAAGTCGTCTTGGTTTCTGCAACAATCTGATGAAGTCTGTTCTCTTCCTGAAATAAGGAGCGAGCGACTCCTCCCTGTGCCTGCGTGCTCCGTGTCGGATAACGTTAACGCTTACGGAGGGGCGCACTCAGAGGTTTACGACGGGGGCCTTGGGGAAACTGGGGTTTCCAGCCAGGCTCTATCTATCACCCACCTTGGGAAAAGGCCCCTCCCCGAGGACAAGGCCCCGGAGACGGACGCACGGACTTCCTGTCTTCTGAGGCCCGTCCTGCACAGAGCACCCCAGAAGGCATCTGCAGGACCCTTGCAGCAATCACGTACAAAGCTCCTACTATGTGCCGGACAGTGTTAGGAGAGATGCCGTTGGAGAGAATACTCAAGGGCCGGCTGGCCCTGCCTCCCGGGATGAAATCTTACGGATCTGGAGCCCAGACCGGGAGCCTCCGTCTCCATGGCAATGTCTTTGATGGCGGTCCCGGCAGAGGCAGCACTGCCGCGGGGCCTGCAGGCGGCACCCAGCCTGGCTCTGCGGAAGGCTTCCGAGGCTCAGCGCAAGGCCGGTCCTCCGACGCGGTGACTAAACACCCGGAGCCCTCCTCCGCGGCCGTGCAGTCCACACCCGGGGCTGGACCTGGCCACGGTTCGGAGCCCGTGCAAGTGAGGGCAGGTGCTGCATTCGCAAAGTTCGGTTTCCAGGGCAGCGTGGAAAGAAACCCACACCTCCCTTCCTGCCGCTTGGACCGGCGGTCACGTGCATACCGTAGGCGAAGAAATGGGGGAAAAGGAAGGGGGTCTGGTTTGGGAAATTCATTTCGGTTTGGGATTGGGTCTTTCTCTTTTATGTATTCGTATAAACCGAACATTTAAATTTAATCCCCTCAGCAAATTGATTTCTTCCATGTCTGGTAGCTTCTGCTTCGAATGCCATGTCTGTTTCTGTTGCAAGGTAGGGTCACTCCGGAACGGGGGCAGGCCACGTTCAGAACTTGTTGGAAATGCATTTGTGGTCCTCATTTCCCCCCTCATCTCGCTTGCTCATTTCTATATCGATGCAGCGTTCTGGCCGACACGTCATAGTCTGAATGCACCGCTCTGTTGGGTAGGGGCGTGATTACTGCGTTTACCCAGGAACCCCCTTTCCACGGCACCTGGGCTGCAGGGCCGCTCTCTCTGGGCCACACCTAGGAACTGCTT